AGACTCTGTAACAACATTATTAGTGAAAAATAAATTTTTATCCGAGAATTCATTTCTTACAGTGAAGGCCACATAATTGTTGGTGTGATCATCTGCATCCTCTTGATTTTCATCTGAATCATCACTCCATGATGCCGTGGCAGCCTTATTTTTCTTCTTGAGAGTGTTTGCACACTCCGCTTGAACATGTCCAAATCCTTCACATTCTCGGCATTGTATTCCCTCTTTTCTTTTCTTCTCTTCAAACTGTTGAGAATTAAAATTCTTCTTTTGAGAATTTTTGTTCTTTGAATTCTCTCCAAATCTCCCTTTCTTGTTGAACTTTCTCAGCATTTCATTGAATTTTTTGGTGAGAAAAGTAAGAGACTCACTCAAGTCCTCATCTTCGTCGGTCTCATCTTTGGTGGACATCTCATCATAATCTGCATTAAGAGCAATGCCTTTACTTTTCTTTTTAGCCTTAAAGTTCATCTCAAAGGTTTGAAGATTTCCTATGAGTTCATCAAGTCTCATCTTCTTCACGATTTTTGCTTCTTCGATGGCTGTCACTTTGTAAGCAAAATGTGTCGGAAGTGATCTCAATGTCTTTTTCACCAATTTGGCGTCAGAATATTTTTCTCCAAGAGCGAAGGCTTCGTTGGTAATATCACAAAGCTTTGAGTTGAAATCGGCAATGCACTCATCCTCCTCCATTCGTAAACGTTCAAAGCGAGTTGTGAGCATTTGAAGCTTTGAAGCCTTCACGATATCCATACCTTCATGCGCAGTTTGAAGAATGTCCCAAGCTTCTTTTGCGGTTTCACACGTGGAAATCAATTTAAATTGATTAACATCCACAGCATTGAAAATGGCATTCAATGCTTTTGAATTACTGTTTGCTAGCTTGTCCTCATCGCTGGACCATTTCTCTTCTGGCTTAGGGACGGTATTACCTTCATCATCTTTAGTTGTTGGATGAGTCCATCCGGTTAAGATAGATCGCCATGCCATCTCATCAATAGCTTTAATGAAAGCTTTCATGCGAGCCTTCCAATAGGGGTAATTGACACCTTCCAGAAGTGGTGGTTTGTTCACAAATCCTCATTCTCTCAAGACATCCATTCCTGCAAAATTAACCAGTACACCAGGACCTCACCGAAATACACGTCAGTGACCCGCTCTGATACCAATTGTTAGTACCGGTTTTAGTTTTTTAACAATTTATAAGACAATATGAATAATGCAAAAACATAAAATAAAAGAACACGAGAGAAATGGTTACGCGGTTCAGTAACACCCTACTCCGCGGGGCCACGCCCAGATGACGAACAATCCACTAAGAACTATTTTACAATTCAATCGGACTTAATCTACCTGAGACTCCCTCTCTAAGAAGACGCCTATGAACTTGCAATTTCCCAATGGACTTGAACAGCGAGATCCCCTTGACTTTTTAACATTGGAATCCCTCCAACTAAGTTTTTCTCCCGAAAAACACTCAAATCATCTCTCTCAATACAAGTGCTCACCCCTGTCTCACAACCCAGTAAAAACTCATTAAGAGGCGTACAAAGACTTAAGGAACACTTTCAATAAATAAGTAAGCTGTGAATAGCTTGACACATCTTCAATTAATTCACTGAACCACATATGTTGCAGATCATGTTGCAACAACACTGCAACATAGCTGTTACGGCCAACTTTTTCAAAACCAGACGAATCAATATTCTTTTAATTCTGAAATCTTCCCAAAACTGATATATGAACCTGGACACGTTCTTAGGAGGCAGAGGAAGATCATCCAGCTATGAAATCTCAATCAAGAATCAATCAAATCAATTTTCCATCTTTGAATCAATAGTTGACTTAGAAAAATAGAAACTAAAACAAGTTTCTAGATTTTTTGAAACCTGCCAAAGGAAACTTGCCAGCTGCAAAGAGATTTCCAAACGCAATCATCCCAGCAAAACATTTCCAAAATAATGCTAATCAAATCCGATTACAATCAATACACAAATTGGGAAACAAATCCCAACAGGGACAAACACTTAGGCCTCGTTCACTTCACAAATTCGAGTTTTCAATTCGAGCTGAGATGTGACATTTTTTTAAAACTTTTTACTATAGCAAAAAAAGTTAAATGTGACATTTTCTGAGAATTTTTTACTGTAAAAATCTAAAATTAAAAATTTAAATCGGTAAAATGAACGAAGCCTTAATAGACTAATAATTTGAGTTGCGCTTAAGGAGGACAAATAGAACAATAGACACTTTTGATTCTCAGGGTCTAAGAAAAAGGAAGATTCCGCAACTTTATTGGAGAATCGTTGAAACAACTCATTCATGATTTCAACACCAAAGTGCTTTTCAAGCAATCCTTCAAGAGCAGCTCTCAGGTACAAAACACGCATTTCGAGGTTTGGCATTTGAACATGCTTTTTTGGGTCATTCAGCGTTCTCCATTCTTTCAATGCTAAAATGCTCATTTCTTTCAATTATGCCCTTCAATCGCTAGGTGACGTGTAATACATGGGCAGATTGAAATTGTCCACTTCTTCTTCTCTCACCAATCCCTGCAAGCAATAACATTGATATATACTGGACCAACATTAAATAGATAGATATATTATAGTATACATTTAGCGTACCCATTTACTGACTATTAGGATAGCTTGAAGTAGAAAAAATCTTATATATATATATATATATATATATGAATATAAGTGCATCAGTTATATATAGTATGGATAGAAGAATATTTCTATATTAGGGAACTACTAATTGTGCATCTTTTAAAGGAATAGTGCATATTTTAATATTTAAAAATTAAATCAATTTATTGAAATCAATAAAACTCACAATGGTACACGAAATATGATGATCATTAGATTTGATGAAAATTGAACGGTAAAAAATATATGTAGAGCTAGAGTAGTATTAATATGTGTTTCATTTTTCTTTAGCCATATTATAATATGTATTTGTGAGAGAAAGAGGAAGTAAGGTAATTATTTCATTTCTTTTTTATTCATACAAAGTATTACAAAATTGAAAAAGAAGAAAAGCAAAAAAAAAAAAAGCTGTTTAAATAATTACCATCTTAGTCATGTCCATAAAACAAGATCCCAGAAGGTCTTTCTCTGTGCCATTGGTTGTATCAGAAGGCAGAAGAATATCAGGTACTGCGGGCACAAGAAGTGCCATAAGCCCTCCTGCGACAAGCTCTTCAGCTCTGGCACGAAGAAACGACGTCGTATCGTTCGCATATTGACTTGCATATGCCTCCTTAACGTGATTGCTTGCGTTTGTGTAGTGAAGCCTCCCTTTGTTCCACGCAGGGGAGTTTCTGTCCCTAACTTCGTTAGGCACTTTGGAGAGCCAATGAAGCGAATATGAAGAGTGAATGAAGTGAAGAGAAGACTTGGGGAACAAGAAACCATAGAATGAGCCTGGAACTCCACAAGTGTGTTGAAATCGTTGGAAAAATGGTCGTTGAAGAAGACTTGGAATGTTAGTTTTGGAGTTTGGTCATCATGAGTGTCCGAGTGGTTATTTTCTTGTTGGTATTTTCAGTTGTATGGATTCCAATATGTTATGGACAGGAAGGAAAGTGTTTGGTCCAGTGGAACAGCCTAAATCAGCTATGCAAATTTGGTTTTGAGAAGAAGAAAGTGGTTTGATATTATTGATGTCCAAGTTCTTGATAATTGCTTCCTTGATCATTTCTTTCGAAGCTTCCACAGCTCCCCTCTAATTTTATTTATTTATTTTTTGTTTGTTTGGAAGAAAGAAACAATATCATTATTATTATCACAAAACAAATGCAAGAAGCTTATGTGATTATAATTATCAAACATAACCTTCTAATTAAAAAGGTTACATTAAGGGTAACCAATAGGTAAATTTAAAATTATCATGTCAAATTATTTATTACATCGAGATCAAATGTATAAAAATTTGAAGTGACATTGAAATATTGGTAAATTTTTCCTTTCCTTTCTACATTTATGTGTTCCATAAAATAAAAACATAAATGAATTAAGGAACTATAAGGTACTAATGAGCAATAGATGTACCTACCTGATAGTTGGAGTTTTGAACATAGCTATAAGGCCCTTCTCCCCCATTCATTGAATACGATTCTACTACTTCATAGTTTTTATTCTTTTCCATCTCTCTCTCTCTCTCTCTCTCTCTCTCTCTCTCTCTCTCTCTCTCTCTCTCTCTCTCTCTCTCTCTCTCTCTCTCTCCCTCCCTCTCTCTCTCTCCCTCCCTCCCTCCCTCTATGTTGAATGTATTTTAATCTCTACATCTTATCTTAGCGATACTTATATATAGCACTGGCATACGCTAGACCTAGAACACATGAGTTAATTAATCACTTAATTATAACTTTTGTTATGTACATGACTATATTTGCTTTGAAGCAAACGGAAGCCATATATCAAATTGACAGCTTGATAGTTAATTTTGTGATTGTCGCCTGTTTAATATTTATTTATTTCTCAATAAACATGTTGTATTCATAATTGTCGATTGTTTAATATTTATCTATTTTTCAATAAACATGTTGTATTCATTAATCATCATTTAATACATTAACTTGGTTGGTTAGACCATTTCCAATTTAATACTAAATTTTATGCCAATGTCAAAATTTGACTTTTGGGTAACAAAAATATTTTGTGAGGTGTTATTCTTAATGTGAAATTTGACATATACTTAAACCATCTCCAATGCAAATGTAAATGTAAACAAGTGTAAACACAACACATTTAATGTATTTTTCTATTTTATTTTTTTAAACGAAAACTTGGTCTTTATTTATTCATAGAGATAATGTCCGAAATAACATAGGGACTTAAGAACAAAGGTAGACAACTAGACTCTTTAATTAATTAATTAATTATATTAATTAGTCTAATTAATTAATTAATTAATTTTATTAATTTTAAAAGTTACATCGCTATAAATTTAGGATTGCACTATCAAGTTATAGATATAATTTATTTTTAAGAATTTGAAGTGTCGAAAAACAACATATGACCATGAAATTCCATATTAAGTTGATATATAATGATGCACAACTGTAATTACTCAACTACATTCAATTTAGGAGTAAATTTAGCAAGCGTCCATTCGCACCCCTAGGTTTCAATTTATTAGTCTTGTAATGCAATGCAGTGAAATTCGTGCATTAAAACTAATTCTAGTACATTATATATCACTTGGTTCTTATATGGAAACGTAGTGCATCGGCAAATGGCTCATTAATTTTCATTGCTACTTTTCAAAGATAATAGTAAAGGCAATTTAAAGTTTGTATCAACGAGAAACCTAATTCTCAATGTTGATGGAGGAGAAATTAGAATTTTGCATTTCTTTAAAAAATATTCTCTAATTATCAAGGTCAATAAAACTATAATCTATATCATTGCACATACAAGCATACACAATCCTATATTTTGCCGCATAAAACTAAATTAGACATTGATATTCACTCAAATTGCAAAATAAAAATTTTACTATGCTAAAAAAAACGCAAAACAAAAATTACACAAAATAGTCAAAAATTGATCATTTTCCGTAGAGAATTTTCGTTTACCTCTCCATGTTTATTCTTACATGGAATATGGAGATTGTCACATACCAATGACGGAAAATATACTACTAGATACATGTGTGGAAGTGTCTACGGTAGTTTCGGGTCGGATCTTCAATTCGATTCCTATACAGGATATGCCACGTGTTAGGCTCACGATACTACAGTCACGAACATAACTTTATGCTTTAGGTCACGATCCTCCACAATCATGATCATCACTACATCCTTGATAGTTAGTACAAAGGCAGATCCCGAACAACCACAAAAAATCCACAACTCAAGGACCCATGGAAAATTAGGAGAGAGAGAGAAATGATAGAGTGTTGGCGTATTTTTGTCACGCTCTTCTGTATATACTTTGCTATCTAACTATTTATAGGCACATCTATCACAAAGGAGCAAATATATAATATGGAAAGTATCGCTCTTATTATTTGTAGGAGAGTAAGTTAACTGATTACTTAATCCGTCAAGATATTAGAAATATTGAATAATATTTTCAATAGGACACTCTCCTTTTCCATATCTTGTAAATTTTATTCCAAATAAATTTAAGGCATTAACTTTTAAGCTATGTACGGTTATGTGCGCCTTAAAGTCCAACAGATTATAACATTGATTAGTCAGAATTATAATTTTTTTTTCTTTTTATTCTGGTTTTTTATCCTAAGTTGGTATACGGTTTTATTAATCTTCTTTGTATCATTCTTTTCTTGTTTTTAAATAAATTTGGGCACAAATTCTTGCTGCTGTACAACATTACATTTTAGTACTAAAAAACAAAATAAACCAATAAATATTCATAATCACCAATTAGGGACAACTTTTTCTGCACGGTATAACTTGTTCCATATAAAGAAAGTTAGATATGCAGCAAATTTGTATAGAGGCAATAATGAATGATCCCTCAGAAAATTTCATCTTACCTACATGATCTGACGATCTATATTATCAAGTACATCATTTTTCACGTGATATATCAAGATTAATCACCATCTCTAATGATACAGTACTCTACTATAAAACCATCTCTAATGAGCAAATACCTATATCAATGTTACCTTTAGCACTAAAAAAATAAAAGAACAACATATAAATGCTATTCTATTTTGTATCTATACATAGTGCTATATTCAAATGTTTTTTTTTCTCTTCACCTATTAATAAGACTTGAAACTTGTAAAATAAAATTTTAATTTAAAACAATTTAAAAATGATAATATTATAATAATTAAATGAAAAAAATACTCAATTCTAAATTTGGCATTAAGAATAGTATATGCCAAAATTTAATGCAAAAAATAAAACTGTATTTGATGATTTTTCTATTCAAATGTTAAAATTTAGAGCTTGTTTAGTAGAAGGGTTTAAACTCCAGTTTAAAGTTTTCATACAATATTTTCTCTCACAAGAATTTAAATTTAAAAAGTTATGTTACAATATTATCTTCCACAAAAATTTTAAAAATTTGAATTCTAATTCAAACCTATAAACTCAACAAGCCTTAATATAATTAGCACCTTAATTTGGCAATGTATTAGAGATGCCGATAAAAAATAAGGACGAACTAAACTATACATATACATACCGAGTGAGTCTACAGTCCGACCTTCTCTTTTAGTCGAATCAAAACGTCCTCTTATTTTCAACCGTTGAGATCAAAATGGACGCATGAGATTGAATTGAGAGCAAAACATATTTTTGGCAACCGTGTCAGAATTGCACCGGTTCTTTCTTTTTTTAATTTTAATTTTATTGTTTTTTCTCTTCATTTCATCTTTAAGAAACTCAGGTTTTAAAATGTCATAATTTTTTTATTTCAACTCGGATTGAGATTATTCTTCTTCGTATGCGTTTACAGCGCAAAAATAAACAAATCTAGATCCATATTACATAAGTAATTCTTCTATAAATATTGAGCCAAAACTTTTGAAAATGATTATTATCAACACTTTCTACAAACGTAAATTCAGATTTTATTCTTAGTTAAAATAATTAGTATCCAAATTACATTCAGATCGTAGTTCAAATCACCTCAGTTAAAACTTTTTTGTTCAAATTAAGATTTTGTTTGATTCAAGGATTCGAATTGTGTTATTTGAATTCTACTTGAGACAAATTTTCTTCTTATGCATTAAGAGGAAACAAAGGACCATAAACTAACATACACAAGGCTAGAAGGGTAATATGGAATTTTGGTAGATTATAAAAAGTAATATGGCAAATTATGACCGGAGGTTGGCGACAAATGTCAGAGCCAAGACAGCCAATCATTTTTTTTTTGTTAAAAATAGAAAATAATATGACAGATTATGAAACATAATCTGGCAGATTATAACCTCTTGCAAGTGCTGGTGATTGGCACTGCATCAAGAAACAACATCTCTTTTTTTGGTTGAAATAGAAAAATAATCTCACAGATTATGAAACATAATTTACTAGATTATGGCTAGCGACCGACGACCGATGCCAGAGGCAGCCTATCATTTTTTTGATAAAAAAAATAATATGACAGATTATGAAACATAATCTGCCAGATTATGGCTAGCAATTGGCAATCGAATGACAGATCTATAGACAACCTCTCATTTTTTTTTTTGGTGATAATAGAAAAATAATCTAGTAGGTTATGAAACATAATATGCCAAATTATGTCCAACGACCGGCAACCAAACGACGGAGTCAGAGATATAACCTATTATTTTTTTGATAAAAATAGAAAAATAATCTGGTTGGTTATGAAACGTAATATGACAAATTATGGCTAGCGTTGGCGATCAATTCCTGAATTGAAGACAACATCTCCTTTTGTTAGCTTAGCGTTTAATATTTGATGGAATTTGTGAAAATTAAGGACCAAATTGAAAACATATAAAGTTTAGAGACTAGAACAATACAAACAAACAAAAGTTAATTTCTACAAATAGTCTTAAAATTTAGTTGTTTCTAATTGTGGCCCTTAATTTCCACAGATTCTATCAAATTTTAACGCTTAATTAACAAGACTGAAACTAAAACAAAATAAAACATCATAGACTAACCGTGTGACGTTTGAAAAGTTAGGGACTAAAATGGAATTGGAGGTAAACCCAGGGTCCATTTGTGAAATTGACCCTTTTAATAATAATTTATTTGGTGTCTACATTAAGTTCGGATCACACTTCAAATCACCTTAATTTAAAGTTTTTAGCTCAAATTAAGATCCTATTTGATTCAAGGATTTGAATTCCGTTTGAGACAAATTTTCTTTTTGTGCATTAGGACCGAACAGCCATTAAAAATCTGTGATGGATATCATGATTTTGTAAGATCCCAGTATTATATATTCGGTTGATTTTTGTTTTACCTCTTTTATCTTTATAAATACAAAAGCTTTAAATGTCATCATATTTGTTTTAAATCCAATTGAGACGATTATTCTTCCTATGTGTTCGGAACGAAGAGAAAAATAATCCCCATCCATATAGTTAATGAAGATCTCTCGTGGACATTTATATTTTATAAGACTTATTAGAAAACACTGAAG